TGCTGTTAGCAATGGGGAACCACTGAGGCTTTTTGTTCAGGCAAGTAACACCATCAAATCAATCTTTTAGGAATATCAATTTGGCATCTGTATGAGAATGGATTGGGAATGGGAGAGAGTAGTTGAGGAAGACCAGTTAGGAGTCTATTTCAATAGAATAAACAAGAGGAAATGATGGAATAGACTACAGTGGTTGTGATGTGAGTGAAGAGAAGGGGACATATGTGAAAGATATTGAAGCAGTGGGATCAACAAAAGTAGACAATTGACTGGATGTGAGGACAGTGAGTAAGGGAGAAGTTGAGCATGATTCTTAAATTGTGAAACGGAGACTGGAGGAATGATTTTTTAGTAGAAATAAGGAAATCAGGAGGAATGCTGGATTTAGGGGGATAATTACTTTTGTTTTGGATGTGTTGAATTTGAGATGCCTATGGGCATATCCAGATGGAAATACCAAACAGACTGTTGGAGCTGTAGGAGTTCAGGAGAGAAATGAGTCAAAGCCTGTATATATAGATTGGGAACTATCTTCATAGAGATGTTAATTATGTTAACAAGAGAGAGGGTATATATAGAGAAAAGAAGACCAGGAAAGAGCTTTGGGTTCCACTTATACATAGTGGGTGTGACATGAATTACAATCCTGCAAAGGAAAATGAGAAGGATCAGTCTTACATACAGGAAGAAAAATATTGAAAAGAGATAGAGCAATGTCACAAAAACCCAGAGAGGAGAGATTCTATTAAGAGGGGGTAGTCAACAGTATCAAATGCTATAGAGAGGTCAAGAAGAATGAAGTCTAAAAAGGTTATTGGCTTTATCAATAAACAGGTATTTGGTGAATTTTCCAAGAGTAGTTTTAATCTGGCAGCAAAGTGGATAGAGTGCCAGGCCTGGAATCAGGAAGACCTGAATTCAGATATGATCTTTCTAGCGGTGTGACCCTGGGCAAGTCATTTGACACTGTTTGCCTCAGTTTCCGCATCTGTAAAATGAGTTGGAGAAGGAAATTGCAAACCACTCCAGTATCTTTGCCAAGAAAACTCCAAATGGGGTCATGATAAGTCAGATACAACTGAACAACAAAAGTTTTGACCTAGTAATAGGGACAGAATTTAGATTGCAAGAGGTTGAGAAGTAAGTGGAAGGAAAAAAATAGAGCCAAGAGCATAGACAGTTTTTTACTAGGAGTTTGGCTGAGAAAGGGAAGAGACATATAGGATGATAGATTGAGGGGATGGTAAGCTTAGATGAAGGCTTTTAACAAAAGGGAAGATCTGTGCACATTTAAAGGCGATGATGAAGGAAGTAGATAAGGAGAAGTTGAATATTTGGAAGAGAAGAGGGATGATCACAAGGGCAAGCTGCCAGAGATGACAGGATGATAGAAGTAAAAGAATTGTTGTTCGTCCTTTGTTTTCGAAGAGGACCAGTGACATCACAAGGGTGATGTCTTGACTTGCTCTTGAATTGGATTTAAATGAGGCAGAGTTGCACTAAACCGTCAGCCTCACTCTCTCCTCCAGAGTCATCAAACACCAGTGTCAAGAAGACTTGAGAAGAGTAGGCAATCACAAGCACAAGATCATCATATTCCTTCAAGCCTAGAGCAAAGAAGGAGAAGATGGGGAAAGAGGGTGAAGGGAGGGAGAGATAATAAGATGGTTCAAAGTGTTGCATTAGTGAGGAAAGGGAGATCTGGAGGGATGAACTCAACTTTTCAATGAACTATGACGTCCTCTGATAAGAGGGGGACTTTATGGCATAAGAGGCTCAAAAAAAGAGAAAAGGTTTGGCATAGAGTGGATAAACTATGATAGAGAATGAATCAGAAAAGAGTAAAAGGATGGATATGCATCAGTAAGGGTTGAAGTGGATAAAGAATGTCCATTGCCCATACAAATATAGAGTCTAGTCATCAGTACCTTAGACAGACACTGCAAATAAAGAATGAGCTGGGCTCAGAATTCAACAGTTGGAAGAGTGTGAGTTGGATTGTCCTTGGAAAATTGTGCTGTTTTTTAAGACTCTAAGTTCTCCATGAAACAATGGCCTATCTTTAAAAAAAAGTTTTTGACTGATATATTTTGTTTTTCCGTCATTATCCCTGCAAAAATACCACATACTTAAAACAAAGAGAAAAATTAGGAAAAATCCACCTGCAAAACCAATCAACATTTTAAAAAAATGACACATGTGGTATTCCATACCCATTGTCTCTTTCTTCTGCAAAAAAAAAGTGGAGGAAGGTACCTTCTCATATCTCTAATTTGGGGCCCAGTTTGATCATTATAATTTCATAGCATTCAGTTTTTATTATTTTGCTCTTGCTGTCCTTATTTACATTGTTGTAAGCATGCATATTGTTTCCTGGTTTTGCTTGCTTCACTTTGAATCAGTTCATGAGTCTTTCCATGCTTCTCTGTATTTGTCATATTTTTCACTTCTTATAACACATTAATACCTCATTATGGACTCATCTTTTTAACACCAGTAAACTTCCAGTGATTTCATATGGTTTTGAGTCATGTACTACTATCTCAGAACTGAAATGGAGAATTTCCCAAAAGACAATAGAGAAACACATGATATGTATGTGTGAACATTACACATGAGGAATTACCTGTATTGGTGTCTAGAATGTCATTGAAGAAATGTAGAGCCAGTAAAAAAAGATGGACTGATCATGTAGAAAGGGCTAGAAGTAACAACAGTTACCAAAGTATATTTACTTAACCATAGCAAAAGGTGGATATTCAATAAAGATATGAATTGAGGATATCCCGAATTGATTCAGTGGAGCAAAATTTCCCTCCCACATGGCTTGAGCTTCCTGAACCTAAAAATGGAAAGGACAAACAACAAAAATGCCAAGCCTGATTCTTGGGGCCACAGTGACTAAAAGGGAGGTGGGGAAGATAGTTCTTCCCCCACACCCAGCTCAATGCATGTTGCCTAAACTTCAGGTGAATAGGACCTTTATTCTTTGGACACTGCAGAAAAGAGAGGATACTATCCCAGTCTGCTAGTTTTAAAGACACACCTTCTTCCAGCTATGCAGCCAGTGGAAAGAGACTGCTTCCACCTATGTGGTAGGGGAGTATAGTATGTCTCTCCTACGAGCAAGTCCCTGCCTCTTCCCACATAGATGCCTTGTCTTAAGTGATCTAGGCATGCACGAAGCCCAGTTACAAGTACAGATGAGTGGTCAGACAGGACGAGGCCTAGGAAAAGGTAGTGTCACAAAAACTTAGAGAAGAGATGATGGTCAAGAAAGGCAAGGACTGAGAAAAGACCATCATATTTGGTCATTAAGAAATCTTTGTTAACTTTGTAAAGAATAATTTTGATTTGAGCATTGAGGTACAGAACTAGATTGCAAAGTACTAAGAAGTACATGAAGAGAAAGAAACTGGAGGCAAAGAATGCAGACAGATTCTTTAGTAGTCTGGCTGAGAAAGAAAGAAGAAATATGGGATGACACCTAGAGGAGATGACAGGATCTGGTGAAGGGCAGTTTTTTGTTTTGTTTTGTTTTGTTTTGTTTTGTTTTTGTTTTAAAGCTAGGAGGACTTCGACATGTTTGTGGAAAGCAGGGAAGGGACCAGAAAATAGGGACAGATCAAAAACTAGAGAGGGTGGGATCCAGAGTTGGGACTGGAGATTAAGCCTTCTTACTGTAAGACAAGTGATCTTTCCACTGTACCAGGTGGCCTCTCAATTAGAGCAGGGGAGGAAGAGAAGAAAAAAATGGAAATAAAAAAGAAATTTACACAATAACTTTATTATATATTTAAAAGGAATAACATGTACATAATAATTTTTCAGTTTCATGTGCAGTCATCTTTTTTATTATACTATGTTATGGAAATGCTTGTTTTATTCTATAAATTAAAAATGAAATAAATTAAAAAAAAGAATTACTAGTAAGTGCTTCTTCATAATCCTAAAACCAATAAGGGAGAAACAAAATACAGAAGATGCTCAGAGTACTTAACTCCAGACAGCAGAGAGATTGGCCTTGGTGAGGAACAGGTTCAATTCTCTACCAGCGACTGGAGGATAGAAGGAGAAAATGGGGGGGTGATATCAAAGGATTTAGATATGAAGAACAGGTGGAGAAGAGGGAGCTCACAGTATTTAGTCTAAACCTCTAATTTAGAAAAAGTTTTATTGATGCTTTTTTCTCATCACTTTTTTGGGGAGTATATTTATACACACCTATACCCTCACACCTGGCCAGTGAATCTTCTCTTGTAATAAAGTTAAGCAAAAAACAATCAATACATTGGTCACTTCTGACAGTGTATTCAAAATGCTACACTCATAGTCCCCTACCTCTTTAAAGAAAGAGTTTTCCTCATCTCTTATCTGGAAGATTAGTCATTGTGATTATGTATGTAGCACTGCTTTTTATCATTGTTAGTTTACATTACAATCCTATTGTTTTGCACATAAAGACACTGGAGCTCAGAGAGTAACAAGTCCATAATCAAACAGGAAGGGTCCAAGTGGCTCTGTATTTAAACATGTCAAAACAAATAAAGTATAACCATGTAATTTCCTGAGGCCACAAATGCCACAAAATCCATAGCCAAGGTTGCTGTCATTGCATGTGCAATCTATGAGAAAAGTACCAAATAGAAATAGACATCATAGCTGAAATCAGGCAGATAAAATTGTCAGTCAATAAGTCACACTGTGTCAGAAGGTATCATTTGGGTAGCACTTGATTTAGCATTTTTTTAAGAGGAATCAATTCTTTTCCAGGGTTTTCTAAAAAACCAGCTGGACAAAACTAATATTTGAACATATGAAGAAGAAATAAGAAAGTATCATAAAAATAAAAATAAAGAGATTCTGTTTCACATAAAATGTTTCTAATAACCAAAAGATTTCATTTGTTTTGGAAGAGCTGCGAAAGTATCCTCCATCCCGGCCAGGCAGGGTTCATTTACCTCCCCCAAATCGGTCCGTCACAGCCTCCCTTTTCATTCTTAACTTTCTACTGTCCACTCAGTGTTCCACTCAGTGTTCACTATCCGAAGAAAATCTTCCAGGTAGTCCAAGAACTGCTCTACTCTTCTTCTTTCTCCTCCACACTGTTTCTGAAAAAGGAACAAACAGTATTGTTAGGCTATCCTTTCTCAGACCACAATCACATAAAATATCATCGATCCTTACAACTCACTTCTTTGGCAGTTATGTATTCTTTTAGAGAAGACAAGTTTTGAAAAATTTTTTCTGCCACATTGTCTTCAGCAGTTTGGTTCTTCAGTGTTTCTATTCCCTGGAAAATTTCTTCAATACACAGTGGATGCTAGAAAGAAGCATAGCAAAAAACAAAGGGTAGATACTTATTTTAAAATATATGCTTCCTTTGGCACTGACCTCATGCTTGTAATTCCCCAAAGTTTTCCTAGGTCCACTTCTCATATTATAACTAACGCATAGCCTCTGGAAATATACATTTTACAATTTTAATATAATTATGTAATGACAAACTTAAACATGGCTAATTCAATGAAGTTGTCATCGTTTATATTAAGATGTATATATATATATGTGTGTGTGTGTAATACATGTAGCTTTAAATCACTAAGACTGTTGGAAATCAATACATGGGTAAGTACTTTAGAAAAATATCAGTCAGTTGGTCAACAAGTATTTATAAGCAGAGACTATACCATAGTAAGTTACCATTAATACTGTGCTAAGCACTAAGGATACAAAGAAAGGTACATGTGCATATTCTCTCTCTCTCTCTCTCTCTGTCACACACACACACACACACACACACACACACACACACACACCCCGAGAATCTCAGAGTTAAAAGTGACCAAATGCCATGAAGGAATTAGCTGTGTGATATCCCTGACAGGTGGGGCTCACTATCTCATGAGACAGACCATTCTATTCTTAAACAGCTATTAATAATGAAAATCACACTTGTATATTATTTTTATGGTTTACAAAATGCTTTCCTTATGGTAGACAAAACAAATATTTTCTCTATTTATAGATGAGAAAACTGAGGCTCAGAGGTTAAGTGATTTGCCCACGGTCACACAGCTAGTGCGTATCAGAACTGTTACTGTAACTTGGACCTTCTGACTCCAACACAAGTCATCTTTCCATTACCTAGGCTGCCTCTCAATTACAAAGAATTAATGGAAAGTTCTTCTTCATAATTCTAAAACCATAAGGGAGACCAAAATACAGAAGATGCCCAGAGTACTTAACTCCAGATAGTAACTGCTGTTTTACATCATATAAATATGACATTTGTTTACAGATGATTATTCTGTGGCCATAATTTCACTTACATTTTGTGGGTCAGGTATCGAAATCCTCAGAGTCTAAAAATAAAAGCAAATACCAGGGTTATCTTTTGAGTTACTTGGCACTTGTGACTGACAATAGAATGGCTTTAATTATTAGTTGTTAGATGTAGTTGTCAAAACTTTTCTCTAAAATATTCTGTTATTTCATTATTAATATCAACAATAAATGGTAAGCAAAACACCAAAACTATGACACCATTTTAAAAAGAATCTGTTAAATAAATTGAAAATTTACCCCATTGCCTATCAGCAAAGTTCGGTGAGCTGTGATTAGCGATAGAGTTTCAGTGACCAGTCTGTTCACTGCATTTCCTGTTGCAGTCCCATAAGCATAGCCTGCACAGAGAGCCAGCAGTGGAAGGCACACAAGCATTTTCATCATGCTGAAGTGCTCAAGGTTAATCTCCGGCAAAGAAAGTGTGTACTACTGGGCTATATCCCCAACCAATTTATTCTCTCTCTTTGAGGAAATGAATAATTTCTGGTGATCTTTGCTACTGATAGGGAATTGTGAATAGGGGCACATCATGGAACTTAATATTTCCATTTCTCCTCTAATTATTTTGCTTTTATCTCCTCATAAAATGATATAACTCTTTCTTAATTTTACTAAGATGATTCATAGGGATAGGGACTAGCCCGGTGATTTCAATACTATTGAGGAAACTCCCTCTACCAATACTGGTATTGGCTGGCACCTTTTCTGTATGTCATAGTCTTAGAGCATTGCCTAGAGCACTGATAAGTTAAGTGACTTGTCCAGGACCTCATAGCCTGCATGTATCACGGGGGTGGAGGGGGGGACTTGAACCCAAGTCTTCTAAGCTCCAAGAACAGCTGTCTGTCCATCATTCCATGCCACCTCTTTCATACCAAAACTTCTTTCATACCAGCTTGTCCCCTCTGATTATACTTCCTAAAACAGAAGTTTGCCTCCTTAAGATCAGAATGATTTGAAATATCTCAATCATCTAATCAATCAATTTATGAAGTACCTGCTATGGATTGGGTATAGTGCCCTTAGGATACTATAGTGAGACAGTCCCTTCAAGAAGCTGATATTCTACTAGGGGCAAACAACATGTTTACAGATAAACACAACTAGATTTAAAAACAAATACATAGTGATGGGGCAGTGTGTGATACTAATAAGTAAGGGAATCAGGAAAGGCCTCTTGAAAGACATGGTATTTGAGCTGAGTCTTGAAGGGAGCTTGGAGTTTCCAGGGGCAGAAGGGAGGAGGGAGAGCATTCCAGGCATGGGGTAGAGCCTGGGCAAAGGCGCAGACTCAGAATATGGAACATGGGGAAATAGCAAGCAAGTAAGGTTTGCTATGGCCTAAAGTGTACGTAAGGAGAAGAAATGTGGGGACAGCTAGGTGGCGCAGTAGATAGAGCACAGGCCCTGAAGTCAGGAGGACCTGAGTTCAAATCCGTCCTTGGACCAAACACTTGACACTTACTAGCTGTGTGACCCTGGGCAAGTCACTTAACCCCAACTGCCTAAAAAAAAGAAGAAGAAGAAGAAGAAACGTGTAATCAATTTGGCAAAGTAGACTGAAGCTAGATTAGGAAGCACTTTATATAGCAATAGAGGAGATTGTGTTTTTATAAAGGGAACAGTGAGCTCTTAGGAATGTGGCGTCCTTTCTTGAGGGTGACCAGTGATGAAGGGAGTTCCACTGGGGCTCCTCACAGCCTCCCCTCAGTATGCTTGCTGACTTCTTGTCTCTTGAGAGATTTCAGCTCCTCCCTCTCCTTTAGGATGAAGGAATGGTAGACTATTCCTTTTAGACAGCCGCTATCCCTACAGTCCTTGGTCATAAGTGGTGCTACAGTCAAAAAGCAACATCTGCCAATGCAGGAAATCAAATAGATTCCAAGAGGAAAATAAGTACAACCAAGACAGTAAAGGACAAGACTTGAGAAAACTAGTTAAAAGGCAACTAAATGTTATTAAACTTGATGTTATTAATAATAAATAATAATAACTAGCACTTGTAAAATGCTGAAGGTTTCTCAAGTGCTTTACATATATCTCATTTTGCTCTCACAACAACCCTGTGAGACAGGTGCTATTATTATTCCCATTTTATAGATGAGAAAACTGAGGCCAAGCAACTTGCCCAGGGCCATAAAGCTAGTAAATGTCTGAGGTAAGATTTGAATTTCATTTTCCAAATCCACCATTCTATCCACCGTTTTACCTAGTTTAGGTTTGTTCTATTTTTAAGAAATGACACTAGAAGTAATACTAGCACTGACTGGCATTGATGTTATCCTCCAGCATTATCTTGAACTGAAACCTTTTTATCATTGAACTGTTTGACTGCAAGTTTTAGTTTTGCTTGGTTTTACATGCATTTTTAAAAACTAGTTTGGAAGGAATATGGAAGCTTGGAAATGGTGTTAAATCATAGAGATGGAAGGCTCTACAGATGTCATCTAGTCTAATCCATGTTCAAATCATGAATCCTGTCTACACCATTCCTGGAAAATAGTTGTCCAGCCTCTGCTTGAAAGGCCTCTGGTGAACTATTTACACCAAGCAATGCAGTATATTTTTGGACACTCCAATTGTTAGGAAATTTTTCCTCATTTTGAGCTGGTCTATTTCATCCTCCACCTCTTGGACCAAGTTCTTCCATCTGAAGTCCAGCAGAAAAGTCACAGGTGACATTTATATAGCATTTTTAGAATGTTATCTCATTTGCTCCTCACAACAACCCTGTAAGGAGGATAGGTCCTATTGAACTCCAGAGAATCTCAGAGTTGGAAGACACCCCAGAAGCCATTTAGTATAGCTTGTATAGGAATTCCTTCTATAATATTCCCAAGAGGTTACCCAGATTCCCTTTGAAGACCTTTATTCAGTAAGGAGGAACCCATTACCTCCAAGATGGCCCATTCTGCTTTTAGATAGTTCTTACTGTCAGGAAATTTTTCCTTACATAGAAGCTGAATCTGGCTCTCTGCAATTTCCACCCACTGGAACCCAGCACAAAAAGTCTCATTCTTTTTTCATTTGATAGTCCTTCAAACATTTGAAGATTGCTATCAGGCCTCCCCTATGTCTTTTCTTTTCCAGGCCAAATATCTACACTTCTTTTATGAATCCTTTTATGAGTTTCAGGGCCTCTCACTAATATGGTTGCCTTCTTGTGGACACTTCCCAATTTATGAATGTCCTTCCTAAAATATTACATCTGGAATAGAACACAGTACTCTGTATATGGTCTAATCTTGGCACAGTACAGTGGGTCTATTACCTCCCTTGTTCCGGATACTAGGCCTTTCAATGTGGCCTAGCATAGTGTTAACTTTTTTTGTGGGGGGAAAAGGGACCATGTTGTCCTGTTGACATGTTGAGTTTGCAGCCCACTAAAGCCCTCAGATTTTTCTCATGCAAACTTTCTTCTAGACACACCTTCCCCATAAGTTAGATAGATAGTTGCTCTTACTTCCCGTATGGGGTCCACCAATGACCACTTGGTCAGACCAGCTCCGATCAATATTTGCCAGTGACAGCAATCATTATTTCTCTTCAAGTTAGGAAAGGAAATGAACTCATTTCACGTTCCTCTCTCTTCCCTGGGGAGGTTTCTCTTTCAGATTCCTTGCCCAGGAAAAGCTTCTGGAACAAATTGAATCTTGAGTTTTTCATTATTTTGAGGCTTCCAGACCTATGGGTGAGTGGCCCAGTCTGGAGTTGGGCAGTTGGGGAGGAAGCCAATAATTCTCGTGGGCTCAGAAATTTAATATTCTCACACCTTAACAGAAAGGTAGGCTGCCACAAACATCTCAGAGTCATAGGCAGCTTTTAAGGAGTTACTCCAAGGAGGAAACATTTGTATAACTTTCAGTTATTTGTGTCCCATTGGCTGAAGCAACCTGGGCTTTCCTTTCCTACCTTGGGAACTTAATAGAAGATGCTTCTCTAATAAAGGTCAAAGTTGGGAATCCCACCAAGGTCTTTTCTGACTACAAATTCAATGTTTTCTATTATATAATGGCCAATCTCTCTTCTATATGACAGCTCTTCAAATATATGAAGTCCCCTTAAAGTTGTCTCCATATTTATTATACCTCCTTGTCCTCCCCTACGCCTTTAGACTATCTTCAAATAATTTTTAGCATGGGATGGTTTCTGAGTCCCCTTATAATCCTGATTGCCCTCCTCTGGTTTCCTTCTAGTTTGTCAATGTCTCTTCTAAAATATACAATTTTGGACTAGATACAATATTCTAGATGTGGTCTGATCCTGGCAAAGTATGGAGGCTCTATACTTTGTATCACTTTTCCCCTAGCTTTAGACAGTATACATCAATGGGGATATGACTAGGAGAGAGGTTGGTCAAATTGATGAAATCACAGGATGAGGCCTTTGCTTTATCTTTAAAGATGTCTCCCCATGGAAGGTGCAGACATACCCATTAACATCACACTGAGATATCTAATGACATGTAGGGAATCTGATTGTTTAGCAATCCCAAGTGCATTTACTTTCTGGGGGCATCTCAATTACAAAGTGACAGCTGTAAGTCTGGAGAATTGCTCACGTCCCTGGGAGAGAGATTAGGTTCATCTTCTATTGTCTGTCAACCATTTTTGCATTTCTCTTTTAGAAGTCAATCACAGGGTGGCACCCTTAGTCTGGAGGACTATACTTGTCCCTGAAAGGGAGAAAGGGGGAGAATTTGGAATTCAAAATTTAAAAAAAATTTTAAAATGCTTTCACATATAACTGGAAAATTTTTTTTATTAATTTATTTTGATTTATCAACAATCACTTCCATATGCTTTTGAGTTTAAAATTTTTCTCCCCCTTTCTCCCCATTACCCTCCCCAAGACGGCACACAATCTGATATAGGCTATACATATACATTCCTATTAAACATATTTTCACATTAGTCATGTTGTAAGGAAGAATTAGAACCAATAGAAGGAACCACAAGAAAGAGGAAACAAAACAAAACAGAAGAAAAAAAAGAGCAAATAGTATGCTTCAATCTGCATTCAAACTCCATAGGTATTTCTTTGGATGTGGATAGCATTTGGAAAACATTTTTAAAGGCTAACAAAGTTATCAGCTTTTTGGGCTGCCATATCATATTGCTGAATCATATTAGGCATGCAATTCACTAAAAACCTCTAGGAATTATACGTGTGAACCATGTCTCTCCTATACTATACTTTTGTAATTGATTTTTATTTTTATTTCTTTTGGCGAGGCAGTTGGGGTTAAGTGACTTGCCCAGAGTCATATAGCTAGTAAGTGTTATATGTCTGAGGTCACATTTGAACTCAGGTCCTCCTGACACCAGGGCCAGTGCTCTCTGCACTCTGCCACCTAGCTGCCCCCTTTAATTGATTTTTAAAAA